TCAGACTCTACAAAAACATGCTTCACCAATGCAACTTAACAAGTAGTCCCAAGGCCAGAGGGCTTGTCAGCCAGAAGTAAGACTCTAGGTAAAATAATCTGGACATTAAGCATTGGGCAACAGTAGAAGAACTCAATATATTTACTTCCACCTCTTTAGAGTGTTTCAATTTTTTTTAATTTGAGTAAAATAAAATAGTCCAGATAGATTTAAGTGAAGAAGTACATCTCTTATTCAAGTGTCATTCCTCAGCGATAACCACTTTGTGCAGGTTCTTTCATATTATTTCACAAAATCTATTCCTTTACAAACATGTAAGATATTCTTTTCCTCTACATACACACATTTGATTATATTATACTTGCTTTTCTGAAACTGGACTTCATTATGAATATATTGGACATCTTATCTATACATAGAGGTAAACTTTATTTATTTTTTAAAGAATATTTTATTGATTATACTATTACGGTTGTCCCGCTTTTACCCCTTTGTCCTCCTCCAGCCAATAACCTCTTCCCTCCAGCAATCCCCCCTCTTAGTTCATGTCCATGGGTCATGCATATAAGTTCTTTGGCTTCACCATTTTTTATACTGTTCTTAACATCCCCTTGTCTGTTCTGTACCTACTAATTTGTACTTCTTAATCCCTGTACCATTTCTCCCATTCTCCTCCTTCCACCACCAACAGATAACCCTCCAAATGATCTCTGTATCTATAATTCTGTTTCTGTTCTGCTTGTTTCCTTAGTTTGTTTTTTAGATTTAATCGTTGATAGTTGTGAAATTATTGACAATTTAATGTTCATAGTTTTTATCTTGTTTTTCTTAAATAAGTCCCTTTAACATTTCATATAATGGCTTGGTGATGATGACCTTCTTTAGCTTTACCTTGTGTGGGAAGCACTTTATCTATCCTTCCATTCTCAATGACAGCTTTGCTGGATAGAGTAATCTAGGTTGTAGGTCCTTGCTTTTCATCTCTTTGAATACCTCTTGCCAGTCCCTTCTTGCCTGCAAAGTTTATTTTAAGAAATCAGCTGAGTCTTATGGGAACTCCTTTGTAGGTAACTCTCTGCTTTTCTCTTGCTGCTTTTAAGATTCTCTCTTTATCTTTACTCTTTGGCATTTTAATTATGATTCGTCTTGGTGTGGTCCTCTTTGGGTCCAAATTGTTTGGGACTCTCTATGTTTCCTGTACTTATATGTCTATTTCCTTTGCCAAATTAAGGAAGTTTTCTTTCATTATTTTTTCAAATAAGTTTTCATTTTCTTGCTCATCCTTTTCTCCTTCTGGCACCCCTATAATTCAGAGGTTGGCACTTCCGGAGATGTCAGTCTTATTACGCTGTCTTTGTTTTTTGAATTCTTTCTTCTTCATTCTGTTCTGGTTGACTGTTTATTTCTTCCTTATGTTCCAAATCATTGATTTGAACTCCAGCTTCCTTCTCTTCACTGTTGGTTCCCTATATATAATTTTTTTTATTTCACTTAGTGTAGCCTTTATTTCTTCCCTTTTGCTTTGGGTGTACTCAATGAGTTTTCTAAACATTCTTATCACCAGCATTTTGAACTCTGCATCTGATAGGTTGGCTATCACCATTTCATTTAGTTCTTTTTCTGGTGTTTTGTTCTATTCTTTATTCAGGCCATATTTCTTTGTCTCCTTCTTTTGGCAGTCTCCCTGGGTTTGTTTCTGTGAATTAGGTAGAGCTCCTTTGATTCCCTGTCTTGGCTTACCTGTTAAGTTGTATGGGGTGGGGTTTTAGGTATTGGCCAGGGCAGGGCAACCTACTTCACTGCTTTGTGGCTCTGTATGTGGGGGAGGGTTTGGAGAAGGGACAGCGCCACTGCCTGGCTGGTGGAGGCTTTCTCAGCACTAGACCTATTTCCAGTCACTTCACCCATTTCCTGTATGAGAGTGGCACTCTTGTAACTGTTGCCCTAGTGGTGGTTCCCACAGTGGGTGGGTTTATGTCTGTTCTAGGACCATATGGGCCCTTCAGATGGACTCTCCAGAGAGACCAGCGGATTCTTCCACTACCTTAACCTCTGCTGGTTTTTACAGGCAGAAGTTATGAGACTTTATTTTTTCTTGGTGCTGGGATCCTGGGCTGCATGGTCAGGCCTTGGGCTGGGATTGCTTGCTCCCCAGGTATCCCTCCCAGTTTTATTCACCACACAAGAATGTGAGACTGCCCTTTCTGCTGGCTGCCACCACTACTGCTGTCTCACCACTGCCGTCTTACCATTGCCATACTGCATTCTGTCCACCCGGGTTCCCTGTCTCCACCCTTCCTACTCAACTGGGTGAATATGGCTTCTTCAAATCCTTGGTTGTCAAACTTCCATACAGTTCAATTTTCTGGCAGTTCTGGGTATTTTTTGTTTTGAGGTTAGTTGTGATCCTTCTTATGGTTGAACAAGGAGGCAAAGCCTGTCTATTTACATCTCCATCTTGATCAGAAGTGAGATAAAGTAAGAGTTGTTCTTTCCTTTCTTCCTTCTTTCCTTCCTTCATTTATGACTGCTACCAAGCCATAATCTATTTGCCTGTACTATATATATATATATATATATATATATATATATATATATATTAGCTATTTGGCTATATCATAATGTAACAAATGATTTCCTATTACTTGGTATTTAGATTTAGTTGGGATTTTTATTATTACAAATAATGCTTCAGTAAACCTAATTTGCACACTCATGTTTGCATATCTAGGATAAATTTTTAGATGTGAAATTATGGGGCTATTGTCAATTTAAAGAACATACACAAAGAAAAGTTGTAATTTATCTATACATATACAAATAAGTTCTCTAGATTAAAATTTTTTCTTTGTTGTAGTTGGCTCTACAGAACTTCAAAATTGTGAAGTAAAAATGTAATTCCTTTGTAGTTTTTATTTATATATTTCATGTGGAAATGATATTATTCACTTAAAGATACTTTCTTTGATTTCCCTAGAACTTTATTTTTTAATGTTTAAATATTTGAGTCATGTAAAATTTATGTTGATATAATAGGTGACAGGAGGAACCAGGTTTATTTACTATTTACCTATTTGTTCCAATAACACTTACTGATACTTCATCTTTCTCACTGACATTTATATGCTAAATCCCACATATGGCATGTTTAGTCATTTCTTTTTATTTAATCTGTGTTTCCGTACATCAGTGCCAGTCTTCCTTAATTAAAATGACATGTTAGTATGCTCAGTATCTTGTATCATTCCACTCTCCCCTTATTCTATTTTCTTTTACTTAAATTAAAAAAGAAATTGATTAAACATAGTAGAGTTTGAGCCAATAGATGAAGGACAACTTTTTTTAGTTTTGAACTCCTAAATGGCAAGCTTTATTTACAAACAAATCTAAAATTTTTATGAAACACATTTGCCTATTTTGTAATATTTATCATTTGTGATCTTAGAGCTTATGTCAAAACTGGCTCATATGCTTCTGAAAGCCCATAAAACACAGGAAGAGTTGTATGTTCCTTAGCCAGAACTTCTGCTGATACAAACCTCAGATCATCCAGTGTGAACGTCTATCTGTATACACAGAATCTGCTTCCATGGACACAGCATATACACATAAAAGTTCAAATAGTTCATAGCTTTGTTCATAAATAATTCTTGATATTCAGCCATTATAACTATAATTATCTTTATAAGAGCTTGTTATTTAAGTTCTGCTATATTTGCCATACCTAGTAGACTATAGAAGGTTTTAAATTTGAAATGTGATTTTCTTTGTGTTTGTTAAGTACTATAAAATGTTCTATTTTCCAATTAAGTTGACTTTAGCAACTGTGTCTCTGGTGGCCAAAGATGGAAGCAGCAAATCTGAGCATCTTAATCTTTAAAAAATGACATTAATAATTCTCTTTTGATTATTAACTTAGCTCCAGTGATAGGAATTCTCTTTTATGCTACAAAATTTAGGCACATCTGCAGCGAGAGCTACTAAGCTGCCAATACCAAAGGGTTAAACCTTTTATTAGCACAGTAAATGAGCCTGAACCTAGCATAGACTAGCTGCACCTCTACAATTACCTGGTGCACTTCGCAAATAAAGAAGTGTGAATGCAATCAACATAATTATATGGTCAAGCTCTGGAGGAGAGATTTCAGAGTTAATGTACAGCATATTTGGAAAAAATAAGTGTAAAATGACCTGAATCTACAAGAAAGGTAATTTTGAGAACAAAACTACCTGAAATAAGTAGTTAAGTAAATTCCCAGTACTTCTGGAAAATAGTAGATAATGTCATGGGGTCATTCTGAGCTTAAATCAGAGACTATCTAATAGAGGAATGTTTCTAAGTGGCAACCAGAGACTAGAGGTTGTGTGTACAGTGCTTATCTACCTACATTTGCATCTTCTCAATCCCCTTGATCTATACTGTATAACTTAATTGAGAAACAATTTGGAGCTGACCTTTGAAAGAGTATGAAGATTGGTAGTACAGCTAGAAGTGAAGTAGTGTGTAAGGATAATGGGAACCACAAACTGGAAGTAATAAGGAATTTCTGAAAAACTCATACAGGAAGTAAATTAGACTAAAAGAGTTGGAGACTCATAATCCGTAACTAGAGCTGTCTTTATTGGGTGATTTCTATTTTTCTTAAAGCTTTTTCTATGGTATTCCATTTCCCTGGATGCAGGAGTATGGTAGGTGGTGGTTGTAGTACCATAAAAAATAAAGTTTTGTACAAAATTAAATAATATTTGGCTGGGATGGACTGTGTGTGTGTGTATACACAATACGAGGAAGTGAGGCAGATTCAGGGAGAAGTCATATAGAGGTCTTGATGACTGCTACATGAAAAGATCCTTAATAAATGAAAAATCTGAATATAAATCTTAGTATAAACCATGATAGGAAAGCAAGAAATGTAAAGGAGAGCAAAGGTTGAAGTGGAATATTGGTTATGAAACATGCAAATTTTTCTTAAACTCCTAGGTGGCCAGAATGGCCTTTATAGGAAATATTTAAAACACTGACACTGTCTTCATTCATGCTTGACCCGAAATGTCTGATTTTTCCTCAGCTGTTATATCTACCAGCCAAAACTCTATCCATCCTGTATTGGTTGTATTTAGTTATACCTTCTCAAAGGTCTTCTGCAACAACAGAGGTTAGAGATTCCCAGTGATGGCTGAACAAAGGAATCAATGATGAGTTTTTTATTCCAATGTCCACACCTGATTCTGGGTAAGTCCTACCAGGCTCTCAGCAAGTGGGTTCTGCATTGTTTTTTAGTAGACATGGTTTTAGAATTACCCTGCGGGCAGCCAAGAGTAAAATTAGCCCACTCTGATCTCATACTTCTTCAAACTCCTATGACCTAAGATACACTGATATGTAGAATCTGATCTTAAAGTACATTTAAAATTTTTTTAAATTAATTATACTAATAAAAGTATAAACTTTTATTTCTCTCTTGTAGGATGGTCTGCTTGCTTTCTCTTTAAAAATATATTTTTCTATTTCTAGTTCAAGTTCATCAGAATTGGTCAGGATTTATCTCCCACGTGAGGGCTTTCCTGAATAACCTGGGAGGACAGCGTGACTCTGCTGGTGAGTCACTTACCCTGTCTGAGCTCCATGGACCAAATAGAGTGTCTGTCTACTGTGGATTAAGCAGGGCTGTATTTCATGTAAAACTCTAGGGACCTAATTAAACTTCAAAGTAAACAGGAAGAATATTTTGTGGAACTGAAAAGCAAATCAGTTAACCACATGATAGATGAAGACAGTTTAGCTTTCCATTATCTGTGAAAGTAAAACTAGGATCTTCAGATAAAATGTAAAGTACATGATCATCAACTTGGAATATCTTAGAAGACCCGCTCTTCCTGGGCCACAGGAAGCAGACAAAAATGATATTAAGAACTTGGGTCTACTGTTGGTTTATGAAGAAAACCTTAAGTGTAAAGAGGATGGAGTAGTTCCAATGAAAGTCATTGAGGTTTTTTTTTTTGCCCAGGAAAATTGGTATTAGGAAACGAACAGCTCCCCTCCTTTATTTTAGCAATTTGTCTGGAATCTTGTATATTATTCTTGTTTTTTTAATCCTCACCCAACAAGAGGAATGGAGGGAGGGTGGGAAGGAGAAAGAGAGAGAGCAATATTGATGTGAGAGACAAACGATTCGGAAACCCAGGCATGTGCCCTGGCCAGGGATCAAACCTGCAACTCTTTGGTATATGGCACAACGTTCCAACCAACTGAACACCCAGCCAGTGCTGTTATTTTTGGGTTTATGTGTTGTGCTCTTGCTTGCAGTTAGTTTGTTGCTTCTTTCATTTTTTAAAATATTTTATTTTAGTTTTTCTGGGAGTTTTTTGTAATATTTCTATGTCTATTCAGTCTAATGTTTTCAAGATAAAAGAGAGTTCTGGAAGCTGTAAAGAGTGCTGAACTGCCTCAGCTTTGATAAGCAACTCTGACTTTTCTGGTGTTATAAACACTTTAGGGGATTAGTTCCAACAAGTTTATCTTCATTTCAGCCGAGGTGCCCTAATCATTGCGGCTACCCCTTTTCAAAACTGATAAAATGATGTCTTTCTATTTCCAGGTGCCTGGTGGATGGTAATGTACTGCATCCGCCAGGCACTTCAAAATAGAAAGAAGGCAGCAAGAAAGAGAGAAAGTGATGTACACTTCAATAATATTAATGTTTTTCTGAGAGCACAGAGGTCACATTCTGAGATGCGGTGCCAGTAAAGGAATTTGGTCTTGGTTTATTAGAAGATTCTTTCGTTTTCTGGGTCATTCATTGCTGCCACAAACAAACCAACAAGACTCTTTCTAAAAAACAAATAAGCCTTTTTGATATTGCTGGAACATTGAAAAACATGTTGATTCTCTCACATTTGTTAACTCCTTTCTTCACTGTTGTTATTTACTTTCTAGATGCTTCTACTTTTTTTACTCTGTTATCATTTTATGTATATTCTTTGATTTTTTTCTACAGAATATGTGACAAATTGTATACTGCAATATTTTTATGAGAAACATTTATGAGAGAAAGAAAAACACTGGAAACAACGAAAATAGGGATTTAGTTGTATATATTAGAATACAAAAATATAATTAAATTGTTTAAGCTGGTAAAAACAATACCATAGAAAATCAAAGACTTGCAAATATATCTGTATTGATTACTAAATGAGTAACATAGGTTATATATAGCGAGTTCTGCTAATACTATTCTGCTCTGTACTTACAAAACTCCTACAAATGCTGTACTTCTACAGGAAGAATACTGAATTTTAAGAGAAAAATATATTAGGAAAATAACAGCTGAACTCACCAGGAAGAAAGAAATGGGATTTTGTTGTTGCCGTAAATGATGGGGGAACATTACGACAGAACTTCAGGCTGTTGCTGAAGTAGTTCAGAGGTATGGGATCTGGAATAAAGTTGACAGATCGGAGTATTGCAGCTCATGTGGGAACAGAAGCTGTAGTTTTGTCTTCTTGTAAGATGGTGAGCTGAGATACAACCCTCTGCAAAGACAAAAGGTATTGATGTCGCTATTGGTTACAATGCCTGTAGAAACTGGCTTAGAAAAACCACAGGTCTAGAGATCCGGCAGGAAACATGTCATTACCACATCCATGAATGGAAAAAATGTAGCCTAGGTAAGATAAAAATCCCAGTTCCAAATCAGATGCTGTGAATTCTGAACGTTTACTGCTCATGAGATAGGAAGACAAAAGTTGATACGTTAACATTGGTTCCAGCAGTATCTATAGCCCACAATACATGAGACTCCCACAAAGAAAATCCACCCTTACTGGAGATGATATAACAATAAACAATTCAAAGAATACATGAAAAATTAATCACAGTGCAAAAAGAGCCAACAAATGAAGCAAACATAAAAATTAACATTTAAAAACTAGGGATAAAAATGATCCCTAGTCTCACATGACTGTCAGATATTAGTATTTAAAGTTATTAAATACAAGAAGGTACAAACCCCACAATGGAAGTGGTATGGCAATAAAAAAAACCTAAATATTGGACAGAGCCAAATGAAATCTCTAACAATGACAAGAAAAGATATATAGAACATTAAAGTCAACTCAATAAGGATAGTAAATTGGAGAAGAGATTTAGTAGTTTATGCCTAATAAAGTGAGATAAAGAGATAAAAATACTTATGAACATGTGAGGTAGTAAATGAAAATCTAACATATAGAAAAGATATTTCAGAATTAGAAATAAAGAGAAAGTGGAAAGATAATTGTCCAAGAGAGGATAATGGCTATAATTTACTAATGTTAAATAATAGTAGTTTTCAGACTAAAGAAGTTCAAAAGTGAATTAGGTCTATTCTATGTATCTGTCAGTGAAGGATAAAAATCACATGATTCTCTCAATTGTAAAAAAGCATTTGATGGAATTCAACATCCTTTAATAATAAGAAAACTCAACAAACTAAGGATAGAAAGAATTAACCATAAAATAATAAAAGATATTTATGAAAAACCCATATAGAACATCATACTCAATGGTCCATCCTACTCATGATTCAGTCTTGGTAGGTATTGTGTTCCCAGAAATTTGCCCATTTTATCTAGGTTAGCCAATGTATTGATGTATAATTTTTGGTAATACTCTTAAATATTCCTTTTCATTTTATTTTAAATTTTTTTCATTGTATTTTTGTATTTAATCTTTATTGATTTTTTTGTATTGATTTTGCCTTATTGTATTTTTTCCATTATCATTTAGTCCCCTGTTACCAGCCTCCCCACAGCTGCCATCATGCTCTTGTCCATGTCCATGGTGGAGTCCTTTTTTCTTTCTGCTCCACCCTCTAACTTCTCTGACCCCCACTAGCCGTCATCTGTTCTCCATCTATGAGTCTGTTTCTGTTTTACTTGTTAGTTCAGTTTGTTTGTTAGATTCTGCATATGAATGATATCATATGGTATTTGACTTTCTCTGACTGGCTTATTTCACTTAGAATAATGTTCTCCAGGTCCACCCATAGATCAATGGAATGGAATAGATAATTCAGAAATAAACCCACACCTTTATAGTCAATCGATATCCAACAGAGGAAACAAGCCTAGACAATGGGCTAAAGATAGTTTATTCAATAAATGGTGTTAGGAAAATTGGACAGATACATGCAGAAAAATGGAACTAGACCACCTTCTTGCAGTACACACAAAAATAAGCTCAAAATGGATCAAAGACTTAAATGTTGGAGCCAAAACCATAAAAATCATAGAAGAAAACATAGGCAGCAAAACCTTGGACATTGCGAATAGAAATTATTCATCAGATATATCTCCCCTGGCAAGGAACACAAAAGATAAAATAAACAAATGGGACTACATCAAACTAAAAAGGTTTTGCACAGCAGAGGAAATCATCAACAAAATAAAAAGACAAACCATAGAATAGGAGAACATATTCACCAATATATCTGTTAAGGGGTTAATATCCAAAATTTATAAAGTACTTACAAACCTCAACACCAAAAAAGCAAACAACCCAACTTAAAAAAAATGAGCAAAGGACCTGAATAAACACCTCTCCAAAGAGGACTTATGGATGACCAATAGACATATGAAAAGATGCTCACTGTCACTAATCATCAAAGAAATGCAAATTAAAACCACAATAAGATATCATCTCACACCTGTCAGAATGGCTGTCATCAATAAATCAATAAACAAGTACTGGCGAGAGTGTGGAGAAAGGGAACCCTTGTGCACTGTTTGTGGGAATGCAGACTGGAGTGGCCACTGTGGAAGCAGTATGGGGATATCTCAAAAATTAAAAATAAGTGCCTTTTGACCTAGTGATCTCACTTCTGGGAATACATCTGATGTAACCCAAAACACTAATTCAAAAGAACATAAGTACCCCTATATTAATTGCAGTGTCATTTACAATTACCAAGATACAAAAGCAGCCCAAGTGTCTATCAACAGATGAGTGGATACAACAACTATGGGACAGTTACACAATGGAATTCTACTCAGTTCGTTCCATTTCTGCAGAATCATTAGCAATGTTCCCACATTCATTTCTGCTTTTTGTAGTTTGGTTTTTCTGTCTTTGTCTTAGTCCATCAAGCTAAAGCTTTTTCAATTTTATTAATCTTTATGCAGAATCAACTATTGGTTTTATTGATTTTCATTACTTTTTTATTCTTTGTATGATTTTTCTTTTCTCTAATTTTTATCATTTCCTTCCTTTGCCTAGCTTTAGATTTAGTTTGTTCTTTTCATTTTAGATTCCTCAGTTGTAAATTTAGGTTGTCAGTGTGATATCTTTTTTAAAGGTAAATGGATGTTTTCTTTAACATTGTTTTTTATTGTGACTACTATATCTTGGTATGCTGTGTTTTTATTTTCACTCACTTCTAAATAATTTTAAATTTCCTTTGTAATTTCTTCTTTGATCCACTAAGTTTTGTAAGAGTATGTTGTTTAATATCTACAAATGTGCATATTTTTCCAAATAAAATAAATCTTAAAAAATCAGTAGTTTTCAGAGAGAAGAAATGCAGAGAAAAAAATCCTGAAATGAGGATTCTCAACATATTTACAATAAAATTCTTGAAATTCCTGGTGCTTTATTTATAAAGCTGACATCAGTTTGTAAACCAAAAAGACTCGAGGAAGTCACAGTTTATCCCACCCCAAACATCCCTTCGTCCTCCTACTCTGACTTGGTGGGGTACCGAACAAATCAACTGTTCAGAACCAGAGTAAGCACAATAAAAAGGCAAACACTGTTTTCAAAACCTGAGGTGTTTATTTTTAGTGATTATTTCCACCTGGCAGCACAAAAACCTCTGTGGAAGATAAATCCTGCTGCTGCTCAGGCCATTTGGAAGTGATGCTTGTTCAAGGTCATGCAGAGTGTGCAGAGACATTTCTTTATTTCTTACTTTACTACAGAGGAATATGGATTTCAGATTCCTCGAAAATGTGAGTTTAAAGATTAAGAAGCTGCATTTTTGAGTTCTAGACTTTACTATATTGTAGGAGGATATATTTAAAATTTTTCTTTGTTTGTGATCTCTAGCACCCCCCCCACACACACACAATCAAAGCATAAATTCAATGGCATTTCCCTCTAATGTGACGTCTCTGCTGCATAAATTACCGGAGGGAAAATTCCAAATCTGTGAACAACATAAGAGGTTTTCTTCTCCCTTCCTCTCAATCAGAACCTCCTTATGAACAAAGACATGCTGATTGTAACCCCTGTAGAAACTGGAATGTACCATCTCTCCCACCTGGTTTACAACTGGAAGGATTACATGGCAAGTAGAGAGAAAAGAAATTATTACACAAGCCACAAAGAAATGTCTTAACAGACCCCACAGAATTGTTTAATTATAATTTGTGGAAATGACTGCAATACAAAAACTATAATTATCTGTACTATTATTCTTCTCGATCTAGCAATAAAAATAGAGTATTTAGAAAGTGTTCATGCCTTTATATTCAAACAAAAATGCATTATTAATGAAGGTTGATGAAAATAGCAATTGTTCATTGAGTATTTATTAGAGCTCAGCACTTTGTATACATTCCCTCTAATTCTCAAAGAATCTTATAATGTATCATAATCGGCACTTCACAATGAGGAAACTGAGGTTTCCTTAATAGCTACCATCATAGTATACCAAGCAATGTTACAGGCAGGGAATAGAAAACATGTTAGGTATTTCAGGCAGAAACTGATTCAATAGAGGATAAAGGGCTTACGAAGTTGATGGAAAGGTAGGAAAGATGCAAGTCAGGGCTTCAGGGACAATTGCTTTCCAGGTCACAACACTAGTTGCCATCTGGAGCTTCTGCTACAACAGCTGATATCAATTGCCTTGTCTCTCCTCACACCTTTTCACTGTCAGACCATTCTTGTTGGTTGTCACAGCCAGATAAGATGGTCTCTGTCACATTTCTTATGTCCAAACTTTATGGAAGTAAATCTCATGGATACAATGGAAACCACATGCAGAATTCTAGCTGTAAAGGGGAAAAAGTACTTTAACCTGCTTTCATTCTGTTCCATAGAGGGGATCATTGAAGAGAGTGAAATGGATGTGCTCCTAGTTTACAACACAGTCAGTCCCTTTGTTCGCTCAGCGTTCATGCACATGCTTCTGTCAGTAGAGTTCTCAATGCCAACACTGCCAAAAATAAAGTTCAGTTAGACCTTAACTAACACAACACAACTCTCCCACGTAACTTAAACTATCCCCAGTCAGAAGACATAGAAATTTCATCTTCTCACTGTGTTTATCTTACAGTTATGTTCATTCTTATTCTACCACTATCATCATTAGATAGATATTAATATCCTATAACCTTAGAATTAAAGTAAAAATTTGACCGTTACTGAATTGTTTCTGTGTAAATTAGTAATGAAAATGGGGGTGGGGTGGGGAAGATGTTTGTGATTGTGTACATAAAACAAGAAATAAGTGATGAGTCGCTCTTATTACCCTTGATTCTGCAGCTGAGCACCAAAAGAGATTAAATTACTGAAAATATAGTACCTAGTGGGATTTAGATATGTAGTTTCATGAGGCTTCTCAGCAACAGCTATTCTATATCTCATGGTTACCAAGAGTAGTTGTTTTATGGCATATAGACCAGACAGCAGAGAAAAAGGAAGATAGACTTCCTCAGACCTAGAAGGCATTCCTGTGTCCATATACTCACCACATAGCATCGGGAATTGAGCCACGTGTATCCTCTGGGCATGCTGGCAGGTCCGAAAGAAAAGAATGAGGGGCAGAACTCTATATGCTCAGTTCTCTAATTCCAAAGGCTGTCTTCCTTCAGGGAGGAGTAAATTGGAAAGGATGGTGGAAACTCTCTAATTAGTTCAGGGATGTGGAGTTTCTTTCTTTGGAATACAAAATCAGGAATTAGGCAGACGAGGAAAGAATGATCTCTGTGCATCAACTGTAAAAACCAAATTGAATATGCAAATTTTTAAGAAAATATATTTGCTAACATCGGTAGTGCCAATAATAATCAGCTGAAGTGAGGACATGGAGACTATGAATGGCAACTCTCCTGTGTAATAAAGAAAAATTCAAATA